GTTACCGACATCTGGTGAAAATTTCATGTCATTAGCACATCTAGTAATATATTTACCGAGAAAAATGTTGACGTGTTCAATACTTATTTTACCTGCTGTATACTAAACTTTATCGGTGACCTGCTGAGGGGATGGGGCCATCTCCATGGTTCCTGAATGGCACATAGAAACCATAACTTGTTGTCTTGAGAAAACCATTGGGAAATTAACTCGTTATCTCGAGAAAACAGTCCTCGTTATTTCGTGATAACGACATATCGGTAATTAACTCAATATCTTGAGAAAACGGTCCTCAAAAGAGAAAACCACGGGAAAGAAAATGAAATGCAGAAAACGTCTGCTCTTGGATTCCGTATGATTCAGATCAGGAAAGTCAATTTTTTTCTGACAGTCCGTTTATTCTGACCACTTATGTCGGTATAAACATAGCTAGTGAGTCAATCAGACAACTGATTAAAGGTTAGCATGTTTATGCAACCCACCCCTCTTTATTGTCGKGCTTTACCAAATGTAAACACTAACAGATGCAAACAACCACTAGCTTATTAAATATAGATTCAAGGTACCAATGGAGCTCTGATATTTATTGCATATTTGTAGCATCAAAATCCAACTGGTGATATCTAAAGGCTTAACGTTCTAATCTTCACACACTGTGTTTCTGGTGCACATAGCCAGAGGCATGTGAGAATGATGGTACACACCTCTTGAACCTAGGTAGCAGTTTACCCCCCTATTCTGTTTTATTGTCARAGTGCCCAGGAGAGCAGGGTGGTAAAATGACCAAAGCATTCATTTTCTGTCCACACTCACATAAACATAAACACAGAAACGCACACACRTGCACAAACAAGACGAGGCATTTAGTGTAATTTAAGAGCTCGCATAAAAGTGAGAGGGTAGGTCCAGTAATACATAGATGYGATAAGCAGACATTACTCAACACACAATGGCTTCCAGGACCACCGACTGTAGACGATATTGATTGGCTATGAAGACACAGAAAAAAAGCACACAAAAAAACCAAAACAATGACTTTAAGTCTTAAACTCTACGGTTTAATAGGCATCACTTGACGTCAGCGCTAAATTCTTTYTCAACGTCCTGCACACTTAAGATTCACACATTTCAAAATAAAGCAGACATTTATTCCAACAAGAAAAAAAGTCTTTCTTTTTAAATCACATCCACAAAAACACACAAAAGCAGTGAGACCAATCTCTC